AAATAAAGGTGCAAAAGGAATATGCAGGAAAAATCCAATTTTATTCTGCATACCGAGTTCACGGCAATATTTCGCCACACTTAAAAAATGATAATCATGAACCCAAATGGTATCGTCTGGATCTGCAATTTCGGCAAGTTTTTGAGCGAATAAATAATTTACTTTTTGATATCCTTCGTATTCTGATGTTTTAAACTCAATCAGGTCTGAACGATAATGCATGGCAGGCCAAAGTGAATTGTTGGCAAACCCCGCATAATAATCTGAATATTGAGAATTTGTTAAAGGGCAGGTGACATAATCAACTTTATCCTTCCGAAAAATATTAAAATGTACTTCCTCTTGCTTATGAACTCGTTCGCCATTCCATCCGAGCCATAATTAAATGCTACCCAATTGGTGTAAATCCAACAGCGATTCAAAAAGCGGCCCATAAGTTTATTGATGTACAAGACTTCCTTACCCGTCCAGTAGAGCTGAATGCTGCAAAAACCATTATCGGCGTAGATCGGATTGATTATTCAAAAGGTTTACTGGAACGCTTTTTGTCCTATGCAGAGTTCTTAGAGAAATATCCTGAGTATCAGCAGCATATTCAACATTTACAAATTGCTTGCCCATGTCGTTTGGAAGTTCCAGCTTATCAACGTTTATTTGAGCGTTTCAAGATTAAGATCGAGATGATTAATCAGGAATTTGCAAAGGAAGAGTGGCAACCCGTGGAATGTATTTATGATGCAATAAAACATCATCATTTGATGCAAATCTATCGTCAAGCCGATGTGTGCTGGATCAGTTCAATACGAGACGGGATGAATCTGGTCGCGAAAGAATATATTGCCGCGCAAAATCCATCAAATCCTGGTGTACTTATTCTATCCAAATATGCAGGTGCTGCAGAGCATATGTCAGAAGCACTACTGGTTGATCCTACCGATAAAACGGCAATGGTCGATGTTTTAAAAACAGCACTGGAAATGCCACGACAAGAACGTATTTCACGCTACAAACAACTAATGAAAGGTTTAAAAGATTTTGATATTAATGACTGGCGCAATGCATTTCTTAACGACTTACAGAACAAAACCGCTATGCAGGATTTCAGATTCCTGGGAATGCGTAACGTTAACCCTATTTATCAAAATTTATAGTACTTCGATTTGTAAGGAACTGGCAGTATCCAGATATTGCCAGTTCAATTCACTATGATGCTTATTTCACATAAGTAAACCGATTTAAAGCCACAATCAATAATAATAGACCCGATAGTGCCATAAACACTGTACTTAGGCCAATCAGCTCACTCACCATTCCAATGAAAGCAGGTCCAACCAGAATACCCGTATAAGCCATGGTCGAAACACAAGACAATGCAACTGCGCTCGGCATCACCGTCTGACGTCCAGCACGGGAAAACATGATCGGGACGATGTTAGAACAACCTGTCCCAACCAGTGTATAACCCACTAAAACCAGCCACCAATAAGGCGCGATACTGACCAAAGCTAAACCTAAAGTTGCACAAATCGCGCTATAGGTTAAAAGCTTTTTTTCACCAAAATAACGGATCAGATAATGCCCCGTAAAACGTCCTGTGGTCATGGCAATCGCGAAGAAGGTATACGCCAATCCCGCAAAAGCGGTATTAACTCCATATTGTTGCGTTAAATAAATACCACTCCAGTCCATCGCCGCGCCTTCCACCATGAAAATGATGAAGCAGGCAATACCAATTAATATAATCAAAGGTTGTGGCAGGCGCTGGCGTATCGACTTTTTCACTTTCGAAGATGCGTCAAGACTGGTATTTTCTACAGCTTTTATGCTGTATGGCACTGAAAGAAAAACAATAATTACCAACAGTAAACTCACAGCAAATGCGCTCATAACAGCCGAAATACTTAAAGCAAGCAATGCAGTAATCGTCAGTACCCCAGCTAATCCGCCTAGACTCGCCATACCATGAAAGCCAGACATCAATGATTTTAAGCTATTTTTCTCAACCACTACGGCCTGAATATTGAGTGCAACGCCCAGACTTCCTGCTGCTGTACCAAATAAGAATAAGGTGATCGCCATCATTAACGGCGTGGTCCATAAGCTTAGGCTTGGCAATAAAACGGCAAGCAAGAGTAAAGCGAAACCGATCGGCACACGACAACCAACACGCTGAACAATTTTACCTGTTGCAGGCATAGCTAGCATTGCACCTAAGCCGCTGCATAATAGCAACAAACCAAAATCGGCATGATTAAAATGTAAACGTTGCTGGGCAAAAGGAATCAGCGGCGCCCATGCAGCCGTGGCGAAACCCAGACCGAAAAAGCTAAAACGAGTTGAAAGACGTTGAGCACTTAATTGAATTTCAGGATCAATAAGAGCAGTTCTGGAAAAAAGGATCATTTAATACCATCCACACAAATTAACTCAGAGCGTCCATCTCGGATAAATCGCCATAGAAAAACCCCTGCTAATCTATAGAGAAGTTCTATAAATCCACAGAGGCTTTTATGACGAAATTATACACAAAACCAAGCTAAAAATAGTATTTTTTGCAAGAAATAAAATCGCTACATATCAATCATTTATCTTCATTTATTTAAATAAAATTAAAGCGTTTATTTTTAACACTTTTTATTCTTAGCTTTTCAATTAAACAAGGCAAAGATATGAATTTACTTAAGTTTTGAAGAAATGACTGAATTAAGCAGTTCATTTATAAAGCTGAATAATATATTTCACTCGGTATAGCTGTGGATTAGCTTTCTCCACCAAATCAGATCAATTTTATAAATGTTTTAAAAAGTACGATAAACCTTCAGGTGCACGTCCATTTAATCTACTGCTAGTGGTGACGCGAACCAAATTACTCCAAGTGATTTTGCAACATTGCTTAATAAATTTTTCAATTAATGAGACATCCTCATGACAAGGAATAGGTTCAAAGCCTCCCGCCTTAATATAGGCTTCGGCACTAAAGCTTAAATTCGCCCCATGTATATGTTGATGATTCATCATGTCCTGATAATGCGTCAGATATTTTTGCTGTTGTTGTATTGATAAGTGACTAAGATCATCCAGTATAACGATTCCACAAATGGCATCTGTTGGTTGATGTCGCATTTGGCATAGTAACCAATCAGGATCTACAATTGTATCAGCATCCGTGCAAGCGACCCATGTAACTCCTTGATCGATTAGCTGCCTAATGCCAAGGTCTCTGGCCTTGCCCACACAAGCAAAATTACATTCAAGCCAATTCATCTGATGTGACTTTACAATCATGAGGGACTGGTCAGTACAACTGTCTAAAACCACTAGAATCTCGACCTGACCGTGACCTATATGCTGTATAGCGTGTTTAATTGACTGCAAACAAGCGGATAAATTTTGTTCCTCATTATGGGCTGGGATAACAATACCTATTTTCATACTAAGCCCTGTTGTTTTGCCAAAGATGAAGGATTTACCGTCCAGATATCAATGATGAAATCTGGATCATTCAAACTTAAATAATGAGTGANCGATTTCCAACACTGATGAATAACGCTGTTGAGTAAGCAATGCCAAACAAATCTGCCTTTTACGAGCTTCATACCAATGTAAATCATAGCCCCAAGGGTCATTATTGTGATGATATAAGGCTTCGAAATATTGACTAGAATCATTCACAAAGATAAACCTCCCAAGGCATTAACAAACGTTCGATGATTGCTGGAGATAAAATCGCAGCATTGCCTGTACTTTCATCAGTTTCAATCTGACTCTTAAACTGCATGATGGCCTGACGTTTTTTGATTAATTGGGCCTGAGTTAAGTTATAAGCTCTAGCCTTTTGCCAGTTGATACGCGGATCTAGTGGTCGCGCCCAATGCCAAGCCCAGATCAGCACGTGTAAATATGACATGTCATGAGCTAGAGCAAATGCCTGTACAGTTTTTCCTACCGCTTCATGATCTGGATGCCCATCCTGTGCATAGCTACAAATTAAAATATCTTCCGCTTTAACCAACTTGTCTAATTCTTGCCACAGATGTTCCCTGTGCAAATGAATCTGCCCGTCTAGTAAATTTAATGCAATACGTTGAACATATTCAGAAATATCTAGACACTGTAAAGCCGCCAAGCTTTCTTGTGGGCGAATTTGATCTAATTGATCTGGGCTGTATTTGGTTGAATGTGGATGGCTTTGTGTCCCATTACTGACGGCAACGATCACTAACTGACAATTCAACATAATTAATTGTTGCATCAAGCCGCCACACCCCAGTATCTCATCATCTGGATGGGGTGCGACAATCAAGATTCTTTTAGATTGAAATTTTTTAAAATTGAGTAGAGAAAGCGGCTGCTGCTCAAATGCATGCAGCCATTGTTCTCGGGAGGTCCCTTGCCCTTCAATAATACGATCTTCGACTAAAGGATGTTTTAGAGCTGCCATGATATTTGCTCCTGTAAACATCGTTCAGCAATTTGCTCATCATCGAATGCCGCATGACTTTGCCGAATAAATACAGGTAAATCAGCCATTAGGCTGGCAAAAGTTGCTTGTTCACAAAAAGGCCTTGCTCCAAGCGCTTTTCCTACCCCTTCAATAACCTCCAAACAGCTTTGTTCTGCCTGCGCACGCAAGATCCGTACATCCCGTTCATGGCTAAGCTTGGGTTGGCTATCAATCAGTTGCGCGATATATTGGAAATATTGTCGGGTTACAGCAAGTCGAGTTGCCAACTGACCTAAATACATTTTCTTAAAAGGATTAGGGGCTTTAAGGCAACTTTGTTGTAGCTCATCCACTAACCGCACCGCGGCACCGTACCAGCAAGCTGCAACACCCGCAGCACCATGCCAAAAACCAACCCGATCAAGGTAATCATTGGGATGACCAATGAGTTTGACTGCTATCTCCTGAAAATTGACTCTTGCGGTCTGTGTTCCCTGCATGCCTATAGCTTGCCAGTGAGCCAGATCAATGGTGATCAAGGATTGGTTGAGGTCAATAATGCAGAGCTGAGATTGCCCCTGTTGATCTTTAAAACTGATTAATGCTTTATGAATAAATTCAGCGCCTGAACACCACGGCTTAATTCCATGACAAAGCCCATTTTCGACCTGTAACGGCACGGGTCCACCATCGGCAGCCCAAACAGCCCATGTCTCCTCATCGATTTCATGTTGATAACCGAGTTCATGCAAAATACTTAAAGCATCAAAATGGGACTCAAAAAGCTTGGCTAAACTTAGGTCAAAGCCAGCTATCTGAGCAAAAATTTGCCAGCGTTGATAGGTTTGTCCCGAAGCAGGTTCAGGCAATCGTCCAACAGAATGAATCAACTGTTTCAACACAATTGGACGTTGACTTAATTTTTCTTCAGCTGAGTACTGCTCAAAGCGATTTAATATGTCTAAAGTTGAGCCTTTTATAAATATTTTGCTATTCATTCTTAAAATGTTAATTCAAATGAGTTTATTTAAATAATAATTGAAACAATCCGTTTAGTTAAATAGATAAATTGTAATGAAAAGATAATTGTTCATACTTATTTAACTATTTATTTCGTTTTGTTTCATTGTTAACTAAACAGTATTTTTAAGTGAATCTATAAAATCATCATGTAAGGATTATTTAAAATCCAACAATTATGAGGAAATATGCAGTAGCTTAAAGGCCTCCGTATTGTAATGTTTATAAAAGAGGTTTTAAGAAATGAGTACTTTAAATATTCCAGATATTAAAAAACATTCAGATGTTATTGCTTCTTGTGGTACAAAAGTAGGAACAGTTGACCATCTTGAGGGTGATAATCAATTAAAACTTACTCGAGATGAAAATGATCAACATCATTTAATCCCAACAGGCTGGATTGGTGAAGTAAAAGGTGACAAGGTTGTACTGATTAAAAATTCAGAAGAAGTTAAACAGCAATGGCAAGCTATTTAAATTATCCTAAAATAAAGAGTACGGCTAGATTTTGATCGTACTCTTTATTTCTTTGTAAATAATTTCAAAAAAGCCCTAATCCTTCGCAATGTCCGTTTGAATCAAAGGCGTTTCATTTCATACTTGTAAAAAATAGCTAGATGCAATCTATTTGTCATAGACTACATCTATTCTTTATAAATTAATAAGTTAGCCTACTCTTATTTAAAATTACTGCCTAAGAATGGGAAAATATACTCAACTACTTTTTGAGTAGCCCATAAACCAATCTCTTGGTGATGTTGATGTGGAGCTAAATATGGTATCAACTTACTAATTTTATGCCCAGTATTTGTAGATATCTGAATTTGCTGCTGTAACAGCAATAATTCTTTTTCTGATAAATAACTAAAATCATTTAGTTCTATAAAGTTTTTTATATATTCTGAATTTACTGGATTAATGCGTCTACTTAAATTAGCACCAGCAATCCAATCATAAATAAAAGTTTTTTCTGCAGCAGAGAAAACTCCAAACATTTTCCCATCTTCTTCATTGATCAGCTTCCAAAATCGGCTATGTTCTGGATCTTCGTTAAGCTTAATCCATCCTATTTTTATTAGCTCAATAATGAATTCCTCAACCTGATCTTCTTCTGATAGCCATGAATTTACAGACTTATTATTAAACTTGCATTTCTCATTATGCATGTGCTTTCCAACCAAAGCTTTGCTCTTGAAAATGTCCAGAACCACTCGCTCAGTATTTAGGTTCTTTATTATTTGAACTGAGCTAACTCCCAGATTATTCAATAAAAAGCCTATCTTTAATTTACGAATAAATTCGGATTGATTTGGGTAGCGTTTGGCTAAACATTTAATCGCATTTGTAGCTAAATGAGCATGTCCATTATCAAAGTTATCAATTGTAATGTGTAGGTTAAAATATTTGGAATCAATACCTAACTCTTTAAGTTCATAATTTGTAATCAGTAAATGAAGTGGTAGTTGTTCGTATCCAAAATTAAAACCTGCAATCTCGGGTATAAAATCTGATGGAGCATAAGCTAAAGCTAATTGTATTGCTGACTGGTGATAATATTCATCAGGCAAATTCATTGAAAATTGATGAAGACCAAGTGATAGAAGTAATTTATTGAAAAGTTTTACATGGTTACTTTGACTGGAACCTAACCCCAACTCCTCAACATATATCTGTATAAAGTCTCTAAAAGCTGGATCATTCCAGTACTGTGTAAAGCTATAAAGCCAAGCCCCGTCTACACGTTTGGTCGGTGCTACTTTGTATAAAAACTCATAAGCTTTACTTGTAGTTCCAAAAAACTCCCTTGCACTCCCATTTTCACGCCTTTCTAAGTACTCTTTGTAATGCAAGCATTGTGTTTTATTTTGTTTCTGCATCCAGACTGCCAATTGATCAACATTAGTAGGAAAATCAGAGAAATCACTATCCAAATGAAGTATTTCGTTTTCTAGGAAATGAAAAGCTTTCAACTCTTTTGCAGAACGCGACACTGATGGATCTAAGAAAAATTGTGTTATTTCAAAATATTTCTGATGGGCATCGGTTATTAAATTTAAAATTCTCTCTTTTACTGCAGTAGGCATTATAATTCTCTCGCGGTAAATAACTTATACCAACATAATTGACACTTGTACTTAATTAATTAACAACTTTGAAAAGAAACGTTAACAAATGTAATCCTTTAGTTTATTTAGTTTTAAAATACAAAAATTTAAGTAAATAATTATAATATTTGAAATAAAGA